GTAAATTGTAGAATGATTTATGATTTCAATTTTCCCTTTGATTTGCTGTGCTCTCTGTAGTCATAGAAAATGCTATAAAAAAGTTAAATTCTTTCATATAAGTTAAACTAGGTTCATAGATCATTCTTTCATAAAAGAAAAAAGTCAATATATTCACTTACATGAGAGAATAATTATAAGAAAAAATTCCAGGTTTATGAAGGATTGGTAAGAGATTGAAGGAACAAATAAAATTATAGTTATAAAGTAGAAATACATTGTAACTATTCTGTTCAGTGAGAAAATAAAAGGATTTATTAAAACATTTTTATGTTAGAGTTTCTGTATTTTTAATATGTAGCAATGAAACATAGTCTCTCTAATTCCTAACAGATAAAATAGAGGCTCAGTGCCAAAAAAGTAGGGAAGAGAAGTAGTTAACATTTTGTGGGAATTTACAAATAAAAAAGAATATGTAGATGGGGCAGGATTGGTTTAGTACTTTCGTTCTATGGAATATCAATTAAGCTGTTTCTTGATATTTTATTTATGATATAGTCACTGAAAGATCTTTATAAATATTTTAAGTAAATTTACAATATTCCCAGGAATATTCTTTAATGCTTTTCTGGAAATGTTTGGAAATGATAAATTAGTGTTTAGAAATCTAAAATGTTTTTTTTTTTTGAGACAGAGTCTCGCTTTGTTGCTCAGGCTAGAGTGAGTGCCATGGCGTCAGCCTAGCTCATAGCAACCTCAAACTCCTGGGCTCAAGCAATCCTCCTGCCTCAGCCTCCCAAGTAGCTGGGACTACAGGCATGCACCACCATGCCGGCTAATTTTCTATATATATTAGTTGGCCAATTAATTTCTTTCTATTTATAGTAGAGATGGGGTCTCGCTCTTGCTCAGGCTGGTTTCGAACTCCTGACCTTGAGCAATCCGCCCGCCTCGGCCTGGTCCCAGAGTGCTAGGATTACAGGCGTGAGCCACCTCGCCCGGCCATCTAAAATGTTTTTGATAACATTACTTTTATGTATTTATATTTTAATGGAGTAATAAATTTATAGATTAATATATGTAGGTAATTTGGTTTGTTTATAGTTTAAGGAAAGAAAGTTATTAAAACATTCTTTGTAGAAATAGCAAATAGTTACCTCTAAACAGTATTTTCTCTGTATCAGATAATGCTATTATAGTAATATATATTCTAAGTACTCTGAGTAGTAAATCCTTTCTTCTTTCAACCTACATTTATTTGCCAGTTTGATTTTAATAGAACTCAATATATATATAAAATTTTTGGTTTCCCATAAATCAGTTTAGTTAAAAATTTGAATTTTATTTTACGCAGGGCACTGTGGTAGGTATTAGGAGATGCCAAGGTGAGAAAGGTGTTATCAGTGCTCTGAAGGGGCCCATTTCTTATTTTCCACTTTATCGCACTAATTAATGTACTTAGGTGATCTCCTGCTAACCAGTATGTAACATTTTCATGTGAAAGATTTTAGGTTGATCTGAGTGCAGTGGTGTTTACAACTAATTGATCACAACCAGTTGCAGATTCCTTTGTTCCTTCTCCACTCCTACTGTTCCACTTGACCAGCCTTAACAAATATATATATTAATTTAAAAAAAAAAGATTTTATATACTATTATCATTATCAGAGCAGCAGTGATACCATTGTAAAGAATTTTGTAGCTTAAAAAAATTATCTCATTTGTCTTAAAATAAGTAGAATTGGCCAGGCTCAGTGGCTTATGCCTTATAATCCTAGCCCTCTGGGAGGCGAAGGTGGGAGGAGTTTGAGCCCAGCCTGAGCAAGACCAAGACCTTGTCTCTACTAAAAACAGAAAAAATAGCTGGGCATTGTGGTGCTTGCCTATAGTCCCAGCTACTCAGGAGGCTGAGGCAGGAGGATCACTTGAGCTTAGGAGTTTGAGGTTGCAGTTTTGATGATGGCACTGCACTCTACCTGGGGTGACAGAGTGAGACTGTCTCAAAAAAAAAAAAAAAGAAAAGAGTAGAATCTTTGTCATTTTGAGACCAAACTGAGTACACTTTAAAAAGTAATATTTTTCAGTTAAAGGATGCTTAATGGCTGTCTTTTGACAGAGTTAATATTTTCAGCTTCATAGTTTTATGATAATGAACTTTTTAATTTAATAAGTATAACCAGGAAACTACAGGTAAAATACAGCAATTGTGTGTTAGGTGTCCAAAGAAAATGTATAGACTATTTAAATTTATATAGAGTACATATATCACAGTTTGGCATACCTGTCCCAGAAAAGACACGTATGAGTATATCAGTTGGATTTTATAATCATAATGGTTTTGTTAAGATTTGCAGAATAAAATTATTTTTTACGTCAAAGAGCAATGCTAGGTTATATTTTGCATGTTAAATATATAAATAGCACACGACTTGCTTTTTAGTTCATGATCACTTTCACCTTTACTTTGGGGATCCCTGAGATTTTCATCCTCTGCATTCTCATGCACTTGATACTTAGATTCAAAAAGAGTGGGTAAAAGAAAGCTGCTTTGCAGAAATACAAGTTCACAGCATTCATGCTGCATGCTTTGTGTGTTCCATTGCAAATATTGCATGCTGCATACTTGTATTTCTCTGCAAATGAAGAACATAGGCTCATACACTTGCAAATATTTAGTTTTATTTTGGCCAGTAGTTGGAACAGATGGAGGAATTTTAGACATAATACTTTCTCTGTTTTTTCTAAAATGAATTCTGTAGTATTTTTCAGAAAACAAGGAAAAAACTTTATATTTAAACTCAAAGTGGCTACAAATCAGCTCCTAAACTGTCACTGATTTAGATTTTGTAGTTTTTACAAATCTTTTAAAATATTTATTTATTAAGAAAACATTGCATTAATGCATGATACAAAATTGATAAGTTTTTCTTTTAATTGGAATGCAGTTTAAAGTGACTGAATTTTCCAATTTCAGCTACTGCATATGACAAGGATACAAACTGGAAAATGGAACTGGTATCATCTATTTGCTTTAGGCTCTTTGATTTATGGTTGTTGGGAAAAGTCTTTCTATGTGGCATTATGTAGATCACATTCTTAATAGCTATTGTTAATTACTGTGCTCTTAAGCCTTGACAGCAATGAAAAAACTTGGGTGGATATAGTTCTTGCAAATAATTTAAATGTTTTCACACATGTTTTCTTTTAAAAAAATAGTTCTTTGGCACTTGGCTTGATTATCTAAACATTGACATTCTTACATTTCATTCCATGTTATAATTGATATGAATGTTGCAGTTTCAATAACTGCACATCAATTTCAAGTTTTATCATATGCTTTTTAATACAGTGGCATACTTGGCTATAGATACAAATTAATTTTAGATTTCACATATTTTTTAGTTGTCACATTACCTATTTTTATTTTTTTATGTGTATGATTGTAAACCTTTCCATATCTTGTATGAGATAAAATGGTATTTTTAAAATTTTAGGGATGATAACTTCCAACCTTAGCAATATTAGTTGCCACTGAGGTTATGATGTTAAGGGCTAAAGTAGTATTTTCAATGAGTTATTCTGCCATTTGCCATACATTCTGAAAATATCTACTTAAATGTTTTTGCTAGGCATAATAGATAAATAGTTTTATAAAAAATCTTTTTTAGGCCAGGTGCCGTGGCTCACACCTGTAATCCTAACACTTTGGAAGCCAAGGTGAGAGGATTGCCTGAGCACAGAAGTTCAAGACCAGCCTGAGCAAGAGCGACATGCCATCTCTACAAAAAATAGAAAAATTAGCCGAATGTGATGGTACACGCCTGTAGTCCCAGCTACTGGGGAGGCTGAGGCAGGAAGATTGCTTGAGCCCAAGAGTTTGAGGTTGCAGTGAGCTACGAGCCATTGCACTGTTGCCTGGGTGACGACAGAGTGGGACTCTGTCCCCCCACCCCCCAAAAAATATATATATATATATTTTATAAGAGTTAATTCTGATGCTCTCCAGAGATTTTCATGCTTAATTCCTTTTTGTTAGACTTCAGCTAATAAAATTTACTGTTATTCTTATATTAGGAAATTTCCTTAATAGTCACACTCAAGCAGGCCCTTTAAAAAGAGAAAAAATGGACAGCGGTAACCAATTGCTGAGCATGTAATCAAGTACTTTATAAGAGAAATCCATCCAATAATCAGTCCTTACTCTGCATTTTATTCTGTCATAAAGGATGGATTCATTTATTTTATAGCTCATGGATTTGAACTGCTACTTCCAACTTCTGGAGACTTAGTGGTTAACTTGTTTATCTTCTACAACCCAGCCTGTTCCAAATCAAACCTATTCTTTATTCTCCTAGATTTTACAACCAATCATAGTTGACGGTACCAGTTCCATTTTGCCTCCAATTCAGTTGGTTATATATTTTTTCTATTTATTTCTCATTTTATAATTGATATCTGGAATAATCAGCAGCTCTTTTCTCATTTATTTTCTCATATTTTTATTCCAGGATTTGCCTCTGAAGCAGGGAGTGTCTGCATTAAAAATGACCTGTAGTTCTCTGCTTCATAGGTTAGAAACTTATTTTAATATTTTGTGGCTAAGCACAGTCCCACTTTTCAAATTCTATAATGAATTATTTAATTGGCATTGAATGTGGACCACCAGCATATATTTCATATTGGGGTTTTCTTTATTACTTTAAATGATTAAAATTCAATAGAACGTCCAGCTGAGGCAATAAAAAGCTTATTCTTGCTTTACATCTTAAAACATTAAATTAGATTTTTTAAAAATCTATCAATTATAAGACAAGTAAAATAATGCTATTTGGGCATTTTTTAAAATTGCATTTCTTAGGCCTTGTATTGCTTGAAGCATTTATATTCTAAAACTTAACCAAATTCCAACTATTCATCTTGGGGAAAAACAATCAGTTCACAAATCACATTTTCAATGGGACTGCTAGCCAGCATAGGTGAAAATATGTATAGTGTATTTACTCTTGAATTGTACACTGCAGATGCTTCTTCAGCTCCCTCCTCTTCCTCCATGGGCGGTGCTTGCAGCTCCTTTACCACCTCTTCCAGCCCTACCATTTATTCTACCTCAGTCACCGACAGCAAGGCTATGCAAGTGGAGAGCTGCTCCTCAGCCGTGGGGGTAAGTAACAGAGGGGTAAGTGAAAAGCAGTTAACCAGTAACACAGTCCAGCAGCATCCATCAACACCGAAGAGGCACACAGTCTTGTACATCTCACCACCACCTGAGGACTTGCTGGATAACAGTCGGATGTCCTGCCAGGATGAGGGGTGTGGATTGGAATCTGAGCAGAGCTGCAGTATGTGGATGGAGGATTCCCCCTCCAACTTCAGTAACATGAGCACCAGTTCCTACAATGATAACACTGAGGTACCTCGTAAATCACGAAAACGAAATCCAAAGCAGAGGCCGGGGGTCAAACGACGAGATTGTGAAGAATCTAATATGGATATATTTGATGCCGACAGTGCCAAAGCACCTCACTATGTGCTTTCTCAGCTTACTACGGACAACAAAGGCAACTCAAAAGCAGGAAATGGGTTGGTATTCACATTTTTTAAAGTTCTATCACCATTATGCAAACAAAAAAAAAATCATTCCCAACTTTTCTTAATTGCTCAGCTCAAGTTTGCATATAAAGCAAGAATACTAATTTTATCATTGAAATACATGAAAATTTTAACTTAAAATTACCAAATTTTACTAGAGGAAAAAATAAAATAACAATAGATTTATAACACTAGATATCTTATTGAGAGTATGGTTAGGTAGTAGAAAATGAAAATAATATGTTTTGAAGTAAATTTCAAATGAACTTATATTTTAAAAGGATTTAAAAAGATTTTACTCAGAAATAACTAGCAATGTAATAGCTCTAGCTAAAACAACTCAAAATGGTCACCAAGAGCTGTATTCTCTTCCACATTGTTTCTTCAAATGCTTCATCCCATTACAATGTTGAGAGGATTTTAGACTTTATTTTTGTTTTTTCTCTTTATTTAATGAGAAAAAGAAAAGACTAAGTTGATAGTTGGTTCTCATCATTTAGGTTCACATATTTTAAGCTTTTTTTTTTTGATACATTGTTCTAATTCAGGATTTTTCTAATCACTTTTTTTTCCTGTGATTCTGGGTTACTTATTTGGAGGGTGACGAACAGGACATGTTTGAGTGTTCTTGCATCCCTGCCAGTTTGTACTACTCACTAAATATATTTCCATAGCTACATTACAGAATATTCATTGCTGTAATATAGACTAGTATGACTTATTTTTAACTTTTAATTTCTTTAGTACTTCTATTGTAATGTTTCATTGCTAGACTTTTGTTTTTTGTTTTTTTTTTTTTGAGGCAGAGTCTCTCTCTGCTGCGCTGGCTCGAGTGCAGTGGCATCATCCTGGCTCATTGAAGCCTCCAACTGCTGAGCTCTAGCAATCCTCCTGCCTCAGCCTCCCGAGTAGCTGGGACTACAGGCACGCAGTACCACACATGGCTAATTTTTTTATTTTTTGTAGAGATGGAGTCTTGCTCTTACCCAGGTTGGTCTTAAACCCCTGGGTTTGAGCAATCCTTCTAAGCTGGACTGCCAAAGTGCTAGGTTTACACGAGTGAGCCACCACCTGACCAATTGCTAGACTTTTAAATTAGATTTTCCTACAGTACATTCAACATAGCTTGTTAAAATTTAACTCACTGTATTTTGAGTATGACTTTTTTGGGAAGAAGGGTATAATCCTTTAGTTGACCCGGTATCGCCTACAATTTCAGTGATCACAAAAAGTGGTCATGAAGCTTTAGATTGGTTTACTACTTGATGACATCATTGATCTTTTTTAAGTTAAAGATCTTTTTTAATATTACAGAGAATATTCTTAATGTATATTAAGCTTGTCCTTAAACTTTCCCTCAGTACATTTTTAAAGTATCATCTATTTAAGCAATAATTATACTACTTTCATTTAAAACTCCTTTGGGGTGATATAGTTAAATAAAAATATACATTTAAATGCTTGTCAGTTTTAGAAAGTCCAGATTAGGAATTACCTAGAAGAAAACAAATTATACCGTTTCCTAAAATGTTGCCATTTTACAAAGTCAAGGATTCCAAACATAATATTTGTAGAACTATTACGTATAAAGCATAAATAAAAACAGAGGTAATAATTAATTGTGACTAGTAGCACAGACCTAAAAGGTTCATGAATATCGTTAAATATACGTATATGTTATTTGGCTTCAATGGAGAAGTCCTTTATAAATTCTAGAAGAGAGATTTTCGTCTTTGTATTGAAATGATGTTGAAGTTTCAATTAGAACAAATAATATTTACTTAAGGGATCATCAATACAGTGATTTGCAGTGGCTAATTAAAGAGATATCTTCACTACATCTTTTCTACTTCTACTTTGTAGATAGATGCATCTTAGAAATGAATTGAGGTTACCTAGGGAAGTATAGATGACATTGTCGAAACAAAATCTTTCATGAAATAATTCATGGAGCAGAAACTCTATAACCACAGAGGAATATGCAGCTTCTTAGGTAATGAAAAATATTTGACACTAGTATGATGAAATGATAGAAGTAGTTTAAATTGATTTATAAAATTATACTGAGGAACGGATGAACTACATGTAAAATATAGAAAACTAGGCCTTAAAAACAATTTTCAGAGCATCTCAAGCTAAAAGCTATGTTCTTCAACAATGAGAAAGGATGTCAGAAACATTGAAAGAAATTTTAAAATGTTTTGGAGATAAGTATATAGCCTTAGATTTAATGTGCTATAAATTGTTGAATTTATGTATGCTGAGTATTTTTAAATGTACTTTCAAATATGGTATAGCCAGTTTCATTGACTTCAAGATACCACATAAAATATTGATGGCCTACTGGATGAAAATACATTTTTTTTTTTTTTTATTTTTTTGAGACAGAGTCTCAACTCTGTTTCCACCCGCTAGAATGCTATTGGCATCAGCCCTAGCTCACAGCAACCTCAAATCCAGGGTGGCTTAAGCAGATCCTTGTGCCGTCAGGCATCCAAGTAGCTGGGACTCATAGATTGTGCTGCACATGCCCGGCTAATTTTCTATATATTTTTAGTTGCCAACTTAAATTCTTTTCTATGTTTTAGTGGAGATGGGGGTCTTGCTCCTTGCTCAGTCTGGTTTTTGAACTCCGAGCTTGAGCCATTCCCCATCCCGGCCCCTCCCCCAGAGTGTAGGATGTATAGGCGTGAGCCCGCGTCTTGGCATGAAAAATACCATTTGCCCTTATATAACTAAAGGATTTTAAATTTATTTTTTAATTTTTTTAAAAAAACTTTAGTATTTAAATATCCCTTAGCGCACAATCATTTTAAATTCTTCAACTAAATAACCTGAGGATCATTACCCAAGTTAAATTAAGCTTGACTAGTAAGTTAAAGCATGATGTCACCTCTGGATGTGAAACCTATTTTAGGCATTTTGTAGTGGAAATTATTTTTGGACATAGGCAACCGAAGGATTAGAAGGAATGTGCAGCACAAAGAAATAGAATTTTATTTTAAAACTTTCGTAAATTAGAGTAATGCTATGAAACATAATTCCACCTTTTATTGTCATTTATAAACAAAATCCCCATAAACTAACTACTACTGTCTGGTTTTTTATTAACGCCATCGTATTGCCTTAGAACATTTATGATTTGAATGACCTCTTTTGTAAGAATTTTAGTTTATGTTTTACAATTTCTATAGAATCTAAAATACATATGTATTCCATTTTTACATTTTAAATTAGAGATAAAATAGTTTGAAATAGACCCTTTTTTTTTTTAAAGTAATCATTTTATAATTTGTTTTAGCACATACTATTTTTTAAGCGTGTAATATGTATACTTATTTCAACTCACCTCAACCAGCTCCTTCATCCAAAGTTGACGATATTTTTGTGCTGACTAGTAAAACTGCATTTTCATTTAGTTGTTACCCTTATCATTATTACCGACTAGCATAAGGTGAACCAGTAAACATATGTTCATCAGTTAATTGATATGCTATACGAATTTTTTATATTCAAACAAAGTTATAAAATTATATAGATATGCGAATTATAATATTTGAAAAAATACAACAAATGAACCCATAATATTACCTGCAGTAGCAACTGCTATTAGCCATTTACTGTATTTTTTTATTTTATTATTTTATTTTTTTGTATTTTCAGCGTATTATGGGTAGCAGTAGTTAAGGTTACTGGGTATATTGCCCATGCCCCCCCTCCCCCCTCGAAGTAAGAGCTCAAGCATGTCCATCCCCAACGTTCATATCTTACTCGTTGTGGTTAGTGGTACTAACCCCTCTCCTCCTTCTCACCCTCCCACCCTCCCGACACCCGATAATGTTATTTCTATATGTCCACTTTAGGTGTTGATCCATATCTGTATTTTCTTTTAGTCTCTTTGTATTTGGGGAATGTTTTTACATAGTCTATAAATGAATATTTTTGCTTTGATTTTAAGATGAGTATAAAACAGAATATCATTATAGAATTTCATGTGTGAGGAACTGCACACTATTCAGATATTCAGATCAAATGTTTGAATTTCTACCCAGAATCATGAAAAGAAAAACAGGGTTTATTGCCCATTGTTCCAGCATCAACGTGATACTTTTGTTCATAGAATTTATTCTTCCAGGGCCTTTTAAATGACTTACACAGGTAATCTTTGACTTCGTTATGTCGAACTTACATGAATGGCATTCCTTGTCCATTAGGATCTTTCTCATGCCACTATTTTAGAAGCTTTTTTTTTTTTTTTTTACCTCTCTTTTCCTTTCTTTATCCCTTCTTTTCATTGCCTTCATCTATAAACATTTCTTCGGCACCTGTTACGTTTCAGGAACTGCACAGGTTCAGGGAATATGAAAACGATGAATCACAGTACTTGCCCTGAGAACTTTACTCTTACCCAGTCAGTTTTACTGCATTGCTATGCCAGTTCCACTCTTTCTGCCCCTTTCCTGACCATGGGGTTGATTTGATCCCAGTCCCTACTTCCATTGAGAGTCCTGCCTTTGCATGCTCTCTCTCTCTCTTTCTCTCTCTTTTTTTATGACTGAAACAACAATTTGGTTACAGCTGGAGGAGTAAACATTAGAGCCAGGTTTAAGGCTGCTTAGCTCCTCTGTGTTTGAAGTCAGTACTGTTCCACCTGGGACCTGGTTGCTTTTGAAGGAGATTCTGTGCACAGTCATCTTATTCCTGGATCTTTGGTGTGAGTCAAAATTTAGAACTAGGAAAGTCACAGAGAAGACACTGTAGGCCGTGACACTATTTCAAAATGTACATGAATAATTTTAAATCTGTTCCATGTTGCTCAAAAGAAAACAGTGTTGTTTTCTACTTATTTTTAATACATATTTGCAGTGCTTCAGCTGTAATTACCTAGAAGAAAACAAATTATACCGTTTCCTAAAATGTTGCCATTTTACAAAGTCAAGGATTCCAGAACATAATATTTGTAGAACTATTACGTATAAAGCATAATAAAA